CAATAAGTAAATTACTAATTTTTTAGGAATATATTTGAATATTTTACGTATGCTATGCTTACTGTAAAAGTTACATTAACGAATGATCGATTTTGTTAAGAATTACACAATTCACATGAATAATTTGAATAATTGTAACAATTGTCAATAGTTAATGTAACGTAGTACTTGATTTGTAATGCGTATAAATTATACATCAATAATAACGTACAAAGGCAATCAATTCTTTTTCTCGACTAATCTCTGTTGCGGCGTAGTTCATTGCAATACTATGTATGTATAAATTAATAAAGTTTTTATGTTACAGGGCCTAAATTATTCTTATCCACTCATTACAAATTTCTGCCTAATCCTAACTTCAATTTTTTATTTTCGTTTTAAATCCTACTTTTCTGTTATTTAAAGCGATTCTTTTATAAATGGCCCCTCAATTAAACGAAGATTGTCTTTCTCATATATTCAACTATCTCTCCCAATCTGCTGACGATATCGCTATATTATTTCCTTGTGCTCTAGTCAATAGAACTTGGTGCAAGGCCTCTATGCCTTTATTATGGAGTAATCCTTGGGCGATCAGATCTTGTTCCGATTTAGCAAGGCGTCATGAATTACTTATTAACGCTTACATTTCTAATTTACCTCAACATTCAAAAGATTCTTTAGCAAATGTTCAAATAAATATTAAGGCTGCTCAACGTACTTCCGCTTTTGATTATGCTAGTTTTTTGAAACATTTGAAATTATCTTCTTTTGGTAGTTCCGTTAAATTCTGGATTGATCGTTCCCTTAAAAATGGTATCATTAATCATGACTCTCAGCAAATGATTCATTATCTTATTGTTGAACATGTAACAAAACTTTTACTCACAAGATCATCAAGTCTACGTAGCTTAGATCTAAGATATTGTGATGATGAAATGCTTGATTGTCTGGAAATTCTGGCTAGTGTTCTTGAAAACACTACCGAAGCCCTTGATTGTCTTATATATCTTAAAGATTTCAAGTATAGTGGAAGTAATCAAGTAATGCCTAGAATTTTTGCTTCTCTTACCTCAAAATGTCAAAATATAAAGCAATTGGGTATTTATGGTTATCGTCCAACTGATAATTTCGCTAATTTTATCGACGTTCAAAAATCTTTAAATGATGCTACTATATCTTATGAACAACTGGACTCTTTCTCCGATTGGACTACTAAATCAAT